AATATAAAATGTTCGGTTACACCCGAAATCTGCCCTTACTCACTTGTTTTTAATTAAGATGAAGAAAAATTTGTTGTCAATGGTGAGCACTACATGCAATATGCAGGTCGTTGCAACATGCAATGTCGAGACCATCACTTTATGAGAGCAAACTTTTAGCGACCGAAGGGTATGAAGAAATGAGCCTGTTTATTGCCAACGAAGTCGATTGATTTCACTCTGCTAGGCTAATTTTTATGGGGTTAGATCAAAGAAAACCTCTATGTTGATAAATTATTTACAACTGACTGGTTGGAAAACAACTTTGCTCGAAAAAGTATGTACCATTTTACTGATAGAGCTCTTTTATGACTAGAAAACCCTGTCTAGAAGCCCGAGTTTCGAGGCGGTTTTTGGCAACTTAAAGAAATATATTTTTACCTTCTCTTTTCTATCATTTTCCCAAGCTCTAGTTCATAACGCACGAAAATTAAATTGATTTCGGGCAAAAGACCGTGGCTCGCTCGGATTAATTAAAGCCGAGAGGCCCAATTTTCGACGATTTTTTTGTATACATTGACTGTAACATTATGACTGGCTTCACTTTTGTAGAAACATGAACTAATGATTCTCTCTGTCCATAGAGTACACCAAACAGTGAAGTTTTGGTAATGTAACGGCGCCTCAACAATAGCTTGTGTGTTATCATTACTCCAAATGCGATAATTTTGTTTATTTACATACAATAAAGGTGTTACAAGCTGAAAGTATTTCCCCGCTGTTAATCGTCAAAATGCGAGACTATAAAATCTTTGGTCCAAATTGAATTTAGAGCTTCCTTACTGAATTTACTTTGTCGTATTTGTAATAAAATTTCATTTCTGCTAAAAACGCACAATTTATTTTCATACTGATTGATGTGGGATATAATTACTTGGTGTATAATTACTTCAATACATTATGATTATTTGGCATTTAAATAAAGTTAAACGCAGTTCGATTATGTGTACAATAGGCAATCAGCACAATAAAAATGATTATATAATATATGATACATACCTCATATGAAGAAATATGTAAGCGTATGTGAGTATTATATACTTATGAACGGTATTTTGTTCATTTTTATATGCTCGACGCTTGCACACATACATACAAAGGCTCCATAAAAATAAATGGGAATTTCAATTATCTTTATTTCTGAAAGAGTGAAACTAATTAACAGCTTTTATCTCCGTGTATGAGCGAAAATTGTTCGGCAACAAGCAAAACGGTCAGTCAAATACGGCTAGAATGTACATAGAAGCAGGACAGAATATTGTTAAGGCTACCAGTTATGCGCTTATTTACTTGTATATGTGTATGTACGCAGATATGTATGTATGTATGACCTATGTATGTAGCTATGTATATTTGAAAGTGTCTATGCCTGCACTATGCGTGCGTCTGCTGTGGTAAATAATTGCCATAAGGCACAAAAGAATTTGCGCTCAATAAAGCTTAAATCAATTTTACGCAATTTGCAGTAACCGCTATGGAGCAATCGGCATACACAGCGTTTTAGCCAATTTCCGTTATAGCTGCAAGTATAGCATATATGTATGTGCAGAGGATATATTTAGTGTAAAGAAAACTATGTGAGTGTGTTGGCGCATAGCTGCTGTGAACCTGCGGACTCCATATAATATATGTATATATACATCTATATATATATATATATATATATATGTGCATATATGGTATGTTATATATATCTATATGTATGAATATATGTTTGCATCTTTAGCCAAAGGATTCAGCATTGTTGTCTACCAGCTGCCTGCACGGCAAAGCGGAAGCGCGCTTGTACGACGGCAGCGCAGTTGCGGGCACAGCGGATTGCGTAGAGATAGGCGGTTAGACATTCATCAAACATAACTGTGACGCATCGGAGCATGAAAAATTATCTAAATTAAAAATCAACACACCGAACAACCGCAATATGATCCCTATGAACTCTGGCGCGTAGGTAAACGAGCTACTGCTGTCAGTCAACGACGATTTGAGTTTTCAGTACGCGCGCGTGCGGCATTAGCATCCCTAGCTGGCGCATGAGCTTTCCGACAGCATAGGAATTAAGAAAAAAATTTATTACAACTTTTTTTTTCTTGCAACCATTGCCAACGATTTTTAGCTGGCGGAAATATGGCTTAGTGCAAAAAATGATTTTTCAAATATTTGCGTACGCGAAAGCAGGACTAGAGCGTACTGTGGCAAGCACAATTGGCGTTGCATGCATGTTGCTCAAAAAGCGGAAGTCTGGCAGCTACAATACATCTCTACATACACATATCTGTGTATATGCATATGTATTTAAATACAGCATCGTGCTATGCATAGCCGCTTGTGTCTGCTTAGCAGCAGATATGTGTGCCTCGGTAACCTAATTTTTCTCACACAAAAGCTGATTGCCGCACAGGAACAAAAAAAAAAAGAAACAAAAACAAGAGGAAATGAAAAAATCGAGAACTAAATCTCCCAACGGTCTATGGACGCAATAAGCCACTGCGTGCACAGCTTTAGCTATATTTTTTTTTTACACACACACACTCACTAACATTCACTTGCCTGTGTGCTAAATGCTCTGGCGCACACATCTCTCTTTAATCGATGGCGTTGGCAGCGCTTCATGCATTTATTGCTTTGGACAAAGGCAGTGCGATTTGGTTCATTTCACGGCTTTACTGCCGCAAAGCGTTCACTTCAACCACAACTGTCGACGCTGAACTCCCACGCTGCATATTAGTTACGTATACGCCCCCACAACCACTGCTAAGCTGTGGATATACGTTTATTTTTACTGAGGTATAAAGCTGTGTATATTTGTAGATATGTGTATGTGTTGACTACACGTAGTTCATTCACACATACACTGTGGCTCAAAGCTATAACCACAATTAGCTTGCATTGATATTGCTTGAAATTTATTTGATGAACCGACAAATGTTCGACAAAAAGTACAATATATCTTCTACAGTCTTAAGAGTGATATTCAAGAGACTTTAGGCTCAGGCTCGGTAGAGGTTCTCAAGTCTTCGCTTCATTCACTGAAACTCTCTGCGCAACAAGTCTGTGCTTTCTGTTTGATCTGAAGGTATTGAGACAGGATTCTAAATTAATTTGAGCTATATGTTTATCCATAAATCTATGAAACAAGATATTTTGTTAAGTAGTTGGAAAAAAATATATATATTCGAGCCTTGAGATAATAAAATTATGATTTTGCTAAGGATTTATACATTTTTATATATTGGTAACATTGGATATTGAATGAATCAGGACATTGCTCCAACTAGAGTGAACTAAAGCGTTAGCTAAACCACGCTAGGACAACGGAAGATTCAGTGTGATATCATCGCGGGTTATCACAAGTTAGCGAAGGCGATTTTCACATTCGGTTAGTTTAAAGAGAATAAAACTGACTTTTGATTGCTGTATCGATTTGTCGCAGCTTGGGAGTATGTCTCTGCACATTGGAAGATTCTAGCGCCAGCCGAAAAGAAAATATAAACTGAATCTAAATATTCTTTACACAACTTTTTGAGGATTGAGAATCACATATTAACATACGGGTAGATGCTAACATTTAAGTCCCTCGTATAGCAATTTATGAAAAGGTTTTTTCTGAAAAATCAAAGATATGCTATGATGATGACGGCTCAAGTAACTTAAACCAAAAAGGCAACGAGTTGGTTAAGCACTATGATTCAATTGATATTTTACCCAAGTATACGTACACTGAACTCGGTTTTTGAGTGCTGACTTTTACATTCGTTAAAAGTGAGCAGGGCAAACCAGCCGAATGGAAAAAAAGTTAGAACAATTGCTATATTTAGAAAGGCTCTCGCATGTTATTATTAAATGGACGGCATGTGTATTTGCAGCAATATGCGCTCAATCTCCCCTTGGCGTAAATATTATTTCTGCCCATGCGAGCGGAACAACGCTTATCTCTCCATCACCTAATTTTTTTAGCTTTCTCTAAGCTTGTGAGATGCTATTAAAATATTGGTTTGAGTACGTAATGCCTGATTAGGTGGCATGATGATGGCGCAAAGATATTATATTATATGTGGCATGATATGAATATGGTATGTATGTATGTTTATCGTAATGTTATCAGTTGTTACATTAAAACCAATTGAGCTTATACGCCGCCGTTTAATGTTAATATCATCGAACTAATAAACATCAATTTATCTCGCTTAACATCAACGGTGGTATGTGAGCTACCAAGCTCCTCATGCTATCGCTTTCACTTTTTCCTCATCTCCTGCGAATATATGTACGTTCATATATGGGAGGGTGTATTTATGTATTCAAAATTCTTATGTGATTTCCGCTCGAGTTGGCACAATTTCGCGTGCTGATTTTTTTATATCCCTAGATATTTCAATAAATTGGAGCCAACTTCCCGTCTTCAGCTCATTGAGTCAACTTTATTTTTACTTTCACTTTTGAAAAAATTTAAATATTGTATTTAAACATGGAAATGAAATTTTACTCCTTTGACGCTCATTGGGTGAATCGTTATTTATCGTAGAGAAAGAAAATAAGTAATATGACGAGTTATCTGCAGTTTATCGCCCACAGTAAATAAAAAATATCCCCTTGTGTTAAGTACTTGACAACCGTTTAAAAAAACCGACCGAAGCAAAATCTAGTACTCTCTTTGTTTTTTAACAAAGTGTATCCAGACCTGTTGATTAACAGAAAGCATTAAAAATCTCATTTCATACCGATACACCTGCTATTCAACAAAATATACTATATCTAGTGAGCAAATATAATTTTATCTGAAGCTATTCGTTAGTATAATTACTGTGGATTTATGCTAATTCTTCGCTTCTTTCATATTTCATCATTCAAACTCAATTAATCCCTGAACAACGTTTCTGAAATGAAACTATTGACTCAAGTAGATACAGATTTTCCAAAACTAAGAATTTGTTATTTTTGTACTTTTAGAAAGATAAAAAAAAAGCAAACAAATCATTTATTGAGACTCAAGTTTCTAATTACTCACAATTAACACATATCCTTTACATTTATTTAACAGTGTCCTTGCAAAGTCTCGGTACGCTTAAACGCTGTCTCTGCAGCAATTCATTTACTTTTTTAAGCTTCACCCTAATTTGTCTTTCATACGAATCTACTCATCCTAGTGTCCTTGTGAGTTGCATGCACTCTTATTTAAATGCTGGTGAATTTGTGCGTGTGTGTGTGTGCGTCTGTCTACAATTGCTCGGTGTCCTTGTCAATGTTTAAACAGCACAAAAGTCTTCTGTTGCTGCCGCTCGTCTTCCTCTTCTTCTTCTTTTCTCTCTACTTTTAACTATGAATAAATATGAAATATGAAAATGTGCATGTAAATTTTCTGCGTAAAATGTCTTCACAACAAATTGTCGGCAACAAAAATTGGTTGCCGTGAGCGACAATTACCTGGTAATACAACATGGGCGCGAGCGCCTCCTACACCCACAAAACAAATACTCACTTACCGTAAAAGCGGCAGCTGAAAATGCTTTAAATTTATTTGGCGAAAATTTCCACGCGAAACTTTTGTTTATCTGTGTGTTTCTTTGTTTACCGTTGTTTCTTCGCATACATTTTTCATTTCTCTCATTTTTTGTTGTGCCACATTGTGCTTTAACCGCGTCACTCAACGCAAGCATGGCCGCAACAAAAATGAGATTGTAGCACAACAAAAGGCCTACTGGCGACAAGTCGGTCAGTTCTTTCATTCCTTCATTCCATAGTTTCCATTGTTATGCTTGCATGTTCACTAATTCATTCATTCGTTCATTGAAAGCCGCAAGAAATGAACCGCATATATGTGAATCCGACACTGGACTCAATGGTAGGTTTGTTTCTTATTTCATCTTCTTTGTTCGCGCTTTCGGCCAAATATCGTCAAACATCGTCAAATGTCCGTTAGGGCTGATATCACAAGTACCGACAAATTCAAACTTCAGCTGACACTTTCTTCTTCCCAAATGTTGTAATATTGGCAAATGTTGTAATATTGACTGATATTCATAAGGAGGATTCACTGGCTGTCTGTCGTTCTACCTTACCTAGACAGCAGACGCAGAATAGAGTAAGTATTCACAAAATTTCACTTTTCCGAGTTTTCGAATTTCTCTTATACCAATGTACATACCATATATCCAGCGCCTTCTACTCGAAAATAATCTGCCCAACTTCTTTCAATCGGTGTTTCACTTCGTTCCTATTTTATCGAGGCCTTAATCGGGTCTTCAACTAATCACCATCTGTAACCACTATATTAGCCTCGATACTGTCAAACTACCGAGTAGAAAACCATTAATTGTACCAAATTACATAATCTCAATTTTTAAATCGGAGTCAATAGTTGAAATTAATCACTATTTTAGAGGCACTAAGGAAACTATTTCAGGCAAAATTCCACTTAAGAAAGTTGGCTAGGAATTAGCAACGGAATATTGAACCCATACATGGAATGAATGACTCTCCAAAATCACTATATGTATAAAATTTCAAAGAAAAAGGATCAGCAATTTTTTAATAAAATGCGGAAGGAAGTGGAGCTGTAGATACCAAAGATATCGGCCTCTTAACATATTGTCTGTTCCAGGATACGTAGCAGTAGACACAAAGCATTCCAGTGACTCTTGTGTGGATTCATTTTTTGGACACCGCTAATTTTTCTTTCTTCAAGTCAAAATTGCGTTGCATTCATTGCCTGGCTGTTGGTCTTCACCAACCCTACTGCATTGGTCTCTATTTTCCACTGCACTAAAATTTCGTTGTCGCCACTTTAAGCGTTCTTTTTTCTCAACTTGCTGTCCGTTTATTGCGTCTCTCAAATTCTCTAGTTTTCCTAACTGTCGACTGCAATCGTTCTCATATTCTTCGCTGAAATTTACACTTACCAACTTTTTCGACACTCCTTTTCGCTGGCGTATTTACAAAGGACTTCTGCAACTGTGGCGACTGCATGTGTGTTTGTTGCGTTGCGTTGGCCAAATCCAAGTCCTTAGAGGTGTGAATTGTCGAAACAGTAAACAAAAGCGTTCCTCTATTTACCACTTTTTCGTTTTATTTTTTTTTTTTTAGTATTTTTTCTTTTTATTTCTTACTTATTTTATTTTTTCCCTTACCTAGCGCCATTACAACTTTGCTACGCAGTTTTTGTTTTGTTTGCTGAATGTCATCTTTTTCTGCTTCTGTGTTGTTTATATCGTAGATTTCTCATTGTCTGCAGAAGTTAACGTTTTACTTACTTTTGCTGTTGGATCCCCGCTACTGTCTTCTTTTTTACTCTCTGTCGTATTGTGTGGAGTTGTAGCAAAACTTGTCTGTCTTTTGTAGGTTATATCCGTTCTTCTCGCTTCTTGCTTGCCTTCTTAGCGCCGCTCGGCCACTCGTGCGAAGCACACTGAATTTGTAATTGCAATGTCGGTTAATTAAATACAGTTTTACTTTATTTTCCCCTGTTGTTTGTCTGTCTGTTCCAGTTCCATAGTCATCTCAGTAAGCAACTTGCAACACACACAAAAGTGTGCACCTTGTGGTAGTGATTCATTGTCTCTAGCTCCCTTTCATCTACCTCGTTTGGATGCAACTAGTCTTTCGCTCCACTCGAGTAATTCGCTAAGACAATCCCATTTATGAAGTTTTATGTTCTACAATATTTTCGGTGTTTAAATTCTCTGTCCTACGGCATTTCGTTATTTTTTGTTACAAGCGACGAAATACGAGCCGCTTAGCCGTTGGAGAAGAGCGGACTGCGCGCGTGCTCTAGGACAATGTAATAAAGCGATTATTACTTCAAACTTTGCGCTTCCTTAAGCAAAACTACACAATTCAGTGTTGCAAAACGATGATTTAGCGTAAAGGGTTTGACTTTATCTACTACCGGCCTGCGGGTGACATAATTAGTATTTATGGTTTGGTTTATTTTACTATATTCTTTTTAAGAAGCGCCATGTGAACTAAAATTTGTAGTATCACAAGGGCATTTCTTGGTTAAGCTATAAACTTAATCCATCAATTGCGAATTACTTGAGTTCACTTCTATTTAGAACGATTAATTTTCTTTATGAATTACGCATGATGAAATATAAGTAATTTTTAGCAGACATTACTGATTTGAAGGATTCAATGAATGGATTCAATAAATGGTCCGAAACTTGACAATTTTTCAAGGCTACAGCAAAAGTTAGGTATCTTTAAATTCTAATCCGTAACTATCCAAAGTTCAAGTAATTTCCTGTTGCCTTTTGATTAAGTTTGACAGCTAGTTTCAAAAATATCTGATCCTTCATCACCTAAATCTTTAAGTTTAGTTTAACTTATCTTATATTCGATCAGATAGTTTCTAGAAATGTCAAGCTGCAACTGTTTCCAATCATTTATAAAGGCTTTCGGTTCGAAAGTTGTCCTCCATGTGAAAGCCGGCATTTGATTTTGGTTCATTCCGTTAAGATAAGTATTGTATCTAGCAACTACTTGCAGAGAGGAAAGATAGGAGAAAAAAGACTGCAAATCTAAATCAACTGAATACATTCACTGCCATTAATTGAAAGCAGAAACACAGAAAACTTTAAGAAAAAGTAATTTTGACTATTTTCCATAGAAGATTTGGATATTTTGTAGTTATTATTTCGGTTTACGTTTATTCGGAGATTAAAGCATTGACCTGAGCAATAACTTATATCAAATTATGTAAAGATATCCTGTCAAACAAAATTTCCCAAGAACTTGATTTTTAACGATCAATTTGTATAGCAGCTACATCCTGTAAAGGACCGATATCGACGGTACCGACAAACGCACAGCTTCTTGGGAAGAAAAGGATTTATATAAATTTTTAGATCGATATATAAAACTCTGATAGACTAGTTTGCGTATATACCATACAAACAGACGGATATAGCTAATCATGTATTTATAGAATTTCGTGCGTCTCTTTGTGGGTGTGACAAACTTCGCGGAAAACTTAATAAACACTAGTCAAGGCATAAAAAGAAGCTTATGAGAGACTGCTGAGTTGTTTATTGAGGCTAGAGGACCACCATGAAACGGATGCAAATTTATATGTGGTCAAAAGGCTGTACCTAAGTAGCATGCCACAAAATATTTAGGGTATGTATTTGACTAGTATAAAAACTACAAAAGCCTAAGAGAGTCGTATAAGTATTATTTCTGGTCGTCAGAATAAAATTTAGCTTCTTAGGTACCTACAAAATTCAAAGAACAGCTTTTTTTTAATATCGATAATTACTTGTTGAATATTTATCGCTTTTCTCAGACCTTTTATAGCACTTGTTGCATTAATTATTTTATCATTGATAGACTTTGCCACGTGTGAGATACAAGGAGTACACCCAAAGTTCTAGATTAAAGTTATGCAGTTACTTTCCTGTCCTGAGCAACGTAAACAATATATGTTTCGGTTGCGATAACGAGCCTTGCATCATAGATCCGAGATAAAAGTATGTCGGTATAGTCGAAGCATCTTCACTATAGTCTCAATTTGGCAGCATCTGTTCAGTTAAGATGTACAAGGTTGTCTGTTTTGTAACAAGATCAAATAATCTCTAGAAGTTCCTTTAAAAAAAGAGCCAGAAAACTTTAATGTAAGTGATCTAAAAAAAGATAAAATTTATAAGGTCTACTCAATACTCTTTTCAACTTTTTAAGCTAACCTTCCATTCAAGAACATCTGAAAGTTATCCAAAATTTTGCTGCGACAAAAACATTTTTTTCTTCAAGAATTTTACAGCCAAGTAAAAAGAAAATAAAAGATAAAACAAGTGAAAAATACCCCCTGCGCAAAGATGTTGGCTATCAGCATCGCTTTCACAATTGGAGAAGACAAGGAACTCTTAATCTTTCATCTTAATCTTTATACTCATACTAACTTAAATGTACGCTTATGTATTATATATGTCTGTATTTAGATATGTTTGGCCTTAATGGGCTATAGCCTTTGGAAATCCCTTACACTTATTTCATTACAGACGCACTACAATCTGGAAATGAAGCCACTGAGTGCTCACACATATAGAAATGTAAGATTAGTAAAGCGCATTTTATCCTTACTACATCTACACTATACACATATTTGTATGTAAATATATACTTATATATACAGATTGGCTGAAAATTTTCTACACTCGATATGAAAAAATACTGTTCTTGGTACGAAATATATTTTTTTATTCAATATAATCTCTCTTAACTTCAATACACTTCAATTCCAATGATCATCCAATAATTTTATGCCAACCTTATAATGACTTTCCGGAAGCTCTGTAAAATATTGTTTCAGATTTCTGGAGAGGTAGTAGTCGATGGGAGCCAAATCTGGTGAATATGGTGGCTGCTCAAGCGACTCGTTAAAACACATTTGTGAGCTGGTGCATTGTCTTAATGAAAAATGACAATGACCTTCGCATGGATCATCTACAAGCATAATACGACCACTTTCTAATTTACCAGCCCAAAATTTAACGGTGCGATTTGAAGGTGAGGACTGCTTATACACTTCTAACAATTGTTCATAAATTTGCTTTGCTTTTAAACCTTTCAAAACAAATAATCTAATGACTGCGCGATATTAAAATTTTCTATATTAAAAAAATACTCTGACACGTCAACTTCAAATGTGTTCTCACGACAGATGTATCAACTTGAGAAAAAAAATGTGGAGCTAGTGGTGCTATTGCTTGGTGAGAGTAGAAAATTTTCAACCAACCTGTATATATATATTGAGAGAGAGAAAGAGAGTGAATCTCTGTATATACATCTTTCCGTAAGTATATATATGTGTATGTATATACCATATATTGTTCGTGTGGCTGGCAGCCGATAAGAAAGCACATTTACTAGCTTTGCGCCATTGGACCCGGTGCGGTGCTTTCTCTACAACAATTATCCTGAGCAATTAAAGTTGTCTGTATTAATTTCTTATGTCACTGTGTGGAGGACTGTTTAAATTTCTCCTTCCTATTTTGAGAGCGACTTTATTTGCTGTGGTAACTGTTATATTTTGTTTCTTTTGATTTGCCAGTGTTTTCGCTTATATTTATTTATTCTCCTTTGTTTTTTTATTTCTTTATTTACTTTGTTTTAGTCATTCCATTTGGCCTTTTGTTTGCTTGTTGTGCAAATTGTTGTAATTTGTTGCTCGTTTGTTGTTATTTATTGTTGTTGTTACGGTCAATGTCTTGCCAAAAATGTCCGCTAACGAAACTGTTTATTATAAGTATGTATGATTCATGCATATCCATTATTACAAGTATTACATATTTTTCGTGTATTTATATTTTTGCTATTTTCATTTCGGATTTTCCTCTCGCCATTGACAGTTATATTGTATTTGTTTTGCTCTCTACGCTTGCCTCAATTATTGTTGCTTTTGTAGCTATTCTTATTAGCTTGTTGTTTATTTAATCGCTTGTATACCTCGGCATAGACTTTGTTGGGCCACGTGCCAAATATGCCGCCGAGTTGAAGTAAACACAATTCACATTCAAACAAAATTGAATGGCCAAAGTTGTGACGAAATAAATTTTTATTGCATATTATTTGATTACAAATATTCGAGATTCGTTGCTAAATCCGGCCATAATAGTAGTGGTAATAATAAATGAATGTGAATAAATGAATATGAAATCAATATTAACTGTATTCATAAGGTAACAGGATAGGTATGAACAATTTCATATTGAGTCGAGAGAGAATTTTCGAGCTCAGAAGCATTTAAGCAGATATATTATGGAGAACCGTCAAATTTGACGCAGTAGCTCTTGTATTTGTCGAATTATTTCTAAGTACCACGACCCCATTATATAGTTGAATTTCAAAAAACAGTTTGTTGAGTATCGAGATATATGCAGCGTCAAATCGAACAAGCATCTGGTATATAATAGATAGAATAACAAGCAGATTTACCACTTTAATCAAATAGTCACTCGTTTTGTTTAATACAAAAGGTTATGAGACAGTAAAGCTCTAACATAGCTAGCAGAGTAGTGGTGAATCGAATTTAGTTAAATAAAAAACCAGCAGTGTGGATGAAGATGTCAAGTCGGCTTTTGTTTTAACCAGCAACACAGAGCATTTTCTGTCGATTCACACGAAATTTCACTACACAAGAATATATAAAGAGAGAGTCAAGAAAATTTTTTAGTGAACTCAGTAAACATTATTTAGATTATCAGTCAAATTAAAGGTCAGGCCCAGAGTTAGAGCCAAACAATGGATGTTAGAGTTAGCTGACAATTCTTCCTGGTTTGAACGAGACAGTCTGGATTCCAAGTTAAGCGTCCCGACCGTCTCAGGCTTAGAAATGATAATAATATATTTGTATCAAAAATCAGATCAAAAAGCTTCCACTCATGGAAATATGTTAACTAATATTTTAATGATCATTACTGTGGTCTGTGCTCTTTTCGTAAAAAGCTACTCTCTCTGCCGGAGACATGCGCTAAGAGAAATCCAGCCTTCACCCAGCTGAATCAGAGTAACGTTCCAATTGTAATCAGCCTAATGATGTCTAAAGTGTGAGCATGTGCGACAAGGCATTCCGTCAATTCGTCTTTTCAATCAACCAACGAAAGAAGTTTTTGGAACGATGTCGCTCGGAAGTACCAACCTACGATTTCTGTACCTACACTAATCTTACATGTTATTGGTGTTTAAGATATAAGGTAATTAAGTCCTCATAACGAAACTTCTTTGCTCATTTTTTCTATTTGAACTATCTATGTTATTCAAATGAACTCGCAAAGGTCGAAAAAGGC